TTCACTGAGACTGGATTTGACCTGGAAACCAGGGCAGAAAAACCAGGATAACAAAAAAAAAACACAACAAAAAAAATGCTGCTGCTGAAAGGACAGGAAGAATAAATCTACTTCACATAATTAACTGCAGGAATTTAGAAATCAAGCTTCTCTTTCTGAATTTTTACTGCATCTTCCACTCCTAAGAGCTCAGGCTGTGAATCTTCAGCTGTGTCTTTAATGTCACTCAGATATCAGTAGTCTTGGATTAAATATTAAGCACAAATAGTGATGTCTTAGTGGCCAGGACTAAGAGAAAAACCCAAATTCTTTTCAGCTTTTTACAATTGGAGTTAAAAGCTGTCAGGCAGGTTCCTTGGGAATTCTGACTGTGGCAGATTGAATAACCAGATCCACACCTGGTGTAGCTGAGGAGCAGTGAAATATCTGAGCTATGCTATAAAAGAGCTCTGAATGCCCTTTTGGAATCCTTTTCTTTCTCTTTTATTGTAATTCCTTTTAGAATTTGGGGATCCTCTCATGATTAATGTTTTGTGCTTCTATCCAATTTTTTATTATTATTTTATTTTATTTTATTTTTTAAATAACCTCCACTGTGGACCTCCTGTTTCTTTGCTGGAGCAGCTAAAGGTTTTCAAAGGAGATGAGATTTTGTCACCTTTCCAGCAGCAAGTTTTTAAGAGCTGTTAAAATTCAGGCTGGGAAGCTTTAGAAGAAAACCCAGCAGCACCAGAAAGCCTGTTTGCTTAGGGGTGACCTCCTGTTCCCTGACAAAGGGACAAAACTGAAATATACTGTGAAATTAGACTGTTAATGTTTCTTCACTCTGCTGCTCCTAGGTGTTTCATGAAAAGGCAAATTTGAAATCTTTTTGGCTGGAGCAGAATTCTGTAGGCAGATTTGGGCTGACACAGAGTGAGCAGTTCCTCCCACTTGGTGCTGTTTCCTGAGGGTTTTGGTAAAGATTTTCCACTTGGCAAACCTAAAAAACCCAAAAGCCCTCTGATTTAACCAGGCTTTTTTTTTTTTTTCTGTGTTCCTCGTGCTTTTCTTGTACACGTTGAAAAAAGAGCAATTCAACTTCTCCCTCTGCTTCATCCAGCAGTGAAACAATCCCACTGTCACATCAGATTTATTTGTGAGAGGTGATTCTGCTCTCACAAGTGCAACCAAGGATTCATTTCCACACCAGGTAGGATGAGGAGAGAAGAAACAAAGATCTTTTTAAATAATTCGCTTTACTGGTGGCTGCTGAAAAGAGCAGAAGGAAAAGAGATTTATTTTGGAGTGGTCTGGTCCAAGTTCTTGATGAGTGTCACCACGTAATGTGCTGGTTTTATTTTTTGTCCCTTAATTTGAGTGAGTTTCAGTCATCTGTGTTCCAGGGCAGCTGGAAATTTGAGTTTGTAGGAGCTGGAACACAGGACAAGACCTTCAGAAAATTCCCTGCTCTGGAGCCCCTGTTTTAGTCAATCTGAATTAAGGGACATTGAAGGGACAGCTCATGGGGGTGCCACGTTTGGAGTTGATCTCCTCTGAAAATCCTGCTGTGGTTTTGGCTCCTTGGTGCTCTTGAAAATCTGAGCAAAACGTGGAGCTTGTAAATCTCGCTGGAATCTTTGGAAAAGCGCCTTCCAACCTCCCAGGGTTTGTCTTTTGGACTGCTGGATTTTTGATGAGTCCACCAAAAACCAAAGGGTGATAAAGGAGGGACTTCCTGCCTTGAGAGCCATGGATAATCTGAATTTCATGGGAGATTCGGTGATGGAAGTGGGGCAGGAATGTAAATAGAGATCCAATTAATATTTAGTGACCAGCTCTGGTCATGAAGATTCCACCTCCTTGTAAATATTGCTCGAAGCCGCTAGACCTGGAATATCAGCTGAGCCTGGTTCTGGCTGGTGCTCCACAAGGTTGGGAAGTTCCTGGCGTGAACTCTGAGCCTGTGGAGACACTTGGAGCAGGGAAAATGAACCCTTTGGAAGCTGCAGGAATGGCTGCAGAGACCTTTCCCTTCACCCTGCTGTCTTTGGTCTTAGAGATTGTCCTCGTGTATTTGTGCCTAGAGAATGGAGCTGTCAGGGGTCCGGGGCGGGCGGGGGGTGGCTTTTCCACAGGGAAAATTCCACCAAACTCGGTGTTTCCTGGGAAATTGTCATTTTGTGCTGCTTTGTTTTTGTTTCCCGTGGAGTCTTTTCAGCCTTTGGATGTAGAAGAGGATGGAGTTTTTTCCACGTTTTTGTGACCAGGTTGTTCATGTAAATCCGTTTGCTTGTGCTTTCCACTTTGTTTTCTGGATGTTTTTTCCTGAAATCTTCCATTTGTAGATGCAGCCTCTACAAGCTTTGAGAAAATGATGTTGGCTGTTGGAAAAAAAACCTTCCTGTGGTGCTTGATGAAGAATCAAAAATCATGTTTTTAGGGGAGTTCTTTCTATTAGAATCTCTTTCTCAAAGGTTTTTAAAGGCCGTGAAGACGACATATCTTAAAACTTAGCTCGTTGTACTTGACTTTATTTAGGAATACACATTTTAATGTATTTTTGCACAGAAATGCACTGTATTTCACTGAAGGAAATACATGCTGCACTGGTATTTGTAGTGCATTTAACCTCTTGGTGCAAAGCCCTTGTAAATCTTCCAAATGCTGTCGTTGAATTTCTTAATGTTTTGTAAGACAGTTTCATAACCGAAGTCCTTTAGTCCAGTAATGATGACAAATTCTTATAAACTTAACCTTATTTGTGGAAGTGACTGAATTATATTTGTGGATCTTGGAGCATTCTGGAGTTTTTTTTTTGACTGTCTAGAAAATAAAACTCTCTGAGAGGGTTGCTTTGATTTTTTTTTTACCGTTCAAATGTTGACTGAGTAAACCTGAGTGTTCAGATTGAGGCTCACGTTTCAATTTCTGTTGTTAAAATTAAATAATTAATATTTTCATTTAATTAATTTGGTTTAAAAATTAATATATCCATTTTGGGGACAGCTAGTTTGCAAGAAAAATCAGGTTTTTGGAAGGAAAGGACTGAAAGGATTCTGTTTACTTAAACCCTAGCCAAGTGAGATTTTAAAAAAAATCTTTTATTAACACTGACTTGGGTTTTTTTTAACAGTCTTTGTAGTTTTATGTTAATTCAACTTTTTAAACTCCTTTTTAAACTTCTCATTTTTCTTGCTGAGAAAAATGATCCCAGAAAGGAGAAAATGCATGTGGGGATGGGTAGGACAGCATCCCAAATAACCTTTCCTGAAAATTTTGAATTATATCGAATATTTCAAAAATCTTGCTGCAAATACACAATTTTTCCATTTTTTTTTTCCCCTGTTGAAGATGTGAGACGCTGAAGAACTCAAAGGGGATGAGGGTGGTTATCTCCAGCCTGGGTGAAAAGGATTCTTTGTGGGAGAAGGAGAAGGAAAGCAGGAGCACAGGGCAGTCAAGGGCTATCAGAGGGTGTCAAAAAACTCGGGAATGATTTGGGGAGGAGAATTGTTTGGTCATCAACATGAGCTGCATGCAAATGTGGGACATTTGGGTGTTCCTGGAAATTGGGTGAAGATAAGAGTTTAATAAGGGTTTTAATTGTCCTGCTGGAACAGGATTAAGATTTGGGGTTGCACCAAATCTCGGGCTTTTCCTAAATTGAACTGCCAGAGGGAAGATTCCTCCCTGGACTCAGGGGTTTAGGACAGGATATTCCGATCTCCTGCTCATTTTGAAAAAGGAAGCGATCTCCTGGTGCCCCAAAAGCTCCATGGATTTGTACTTGGAGATTTGGATCTGTGCTTGAACACAAAGGTGGAGCTCAAATCCTGGGAAATTCAACACTCCTGGTTTGGTCCTTGGGAAAGCTGAGGACAGGAACAATGATGAAAAACACAAATCCAAGCCAGCACTGATCACATGAAAATCATAATCTCATTCCTAATTAATTTCTAGGCTTTGAACAGTTCCTTATGTTGTTCTAGTATAGGCTCTTGAGTTTTTCCTTGGTAAAAAATATCCCTGGATAATTAAAGTTAGAAAATGCACCATCACTGAAGGCTGTGATTCCTTAGGAATATTTAATTTGAGGAAAACTGAACTCTTTTTAACTGGTGCCACTGCTAATTAAAATAATATAATACACACTACCATTATATATTATTATTGATAATCCTATTGGTTATCAAACCTAAGGAGAAATGTACGTTAATTTTTCTATGAGCAAGGAAAATGTAAATTTTTTTAGTGTGATTGTTCTCTGAAGAGCAGACTCTTTACACTCTGGCTGTGAGGAGCAGCTCCTTCACCTCCTTCACACAGCTGCCAAGCACATTCCCTCTGGATAAATTCTCCAAACAGCATCTCAAGTGGAACTTTCTCAGCTGAAATTTACCCTAAAATTTAGAAACACAACTCAAAAAACTCACTGCATGTCTGGGATTGTTTGGGATGCATCACTGTGCGCAGCAGGATGAAATCAGCCCCATGGATGAGAAAACCAAAGTTTTTTCTGTGGCTGTTCCTGGATCCACAGCACAGAACAGAGAGCAGGAAGTGCTCTGAGGAAAGCACTTGTAGCATCATTAAAAATTCTAATTAAGCTACTCCAGATAACACTGACATTTCCCCCCATATTCTTTAAATTCTCTTGCCTGTTCCTGAAGAAGGAGAACCCTCGAGCTCCTGTTGACATTGATATAAAACTCCACTGACAGACAAGTGAAAGCACCACCCAGGCAAGTCAAACAGAACAAATACCTCCAGATAATTCTTCTCCAAGGAAAGCTTTCAGCTGATGAAATAATTTTGGGCAGAAATGTGGAAAAAAAAATTATGTAGAATGTTGAGCAACAAGGTGTCCCTGCCCATGGCCTTCAAGGTCATTTCCAGCCCAAACCACCCTTGGATTCTGTAATTCCATGTTAACTATAAAGAGGCGCTACTTAGTTGGCTTGACAGGCAAAAATAAACTTAAAAGGAATGAATTCAAGAAATAAAAGTAATGCTACAAATAAATGTTCTAGTTTATATTAATCAAATTGTTTAGTTGGTTGTGTTCTTTATTTCTCAGTGGTAAGAGCTGTGAGAAGTGTGTGAATTCCAGTTGTTTCACGTTCAAGAATGATTAATTTAGAGCAGAATCTCACAGAAGCAGAATGGGTCTCATGAAGATTTTAAGAGCATGGCCTGGGTTTGAAAGCAAAATCTACAAAACTAAGAAAGTTTATGAAAAAGGGGGAATTAAGCTGGTAAATAATACTGTTACGTATATCCATAAATGCAAAATATGAATGGATATAAATTGGAGATGAATAAATCTGTATCAATTAGTGGGAGAATGGTTCTAATGATCAAAGAGTCTTTGGATTGTTATATTCTACATAAAGTTTTAGTCAGTTTTGCTACACTGGGGAAAGAAAAATAAATTGTTTCAAGGTGGAACTTCTGAAGGCCAAAAATGCCACAAAGGGCTCGGTTAAGCAAAAGCGGTTTCCATGGGCAAATAAATATTTATGAAAAATAACAGGGGCATCAAAATCAGAGAAAAGGTGTTGGTGGGAAGAAGAAGGAGGATACTAAGTGAACTTGGAGGCAGAGAAGGTGAAAGAGAACAGTGCAGGATTCCTCTCAGAGCCAAGCTGCCCTCACCTAGAGCTTGGGCTGCCCTCGGAGCAGCCTCTGAGAAGCTGACATCAAGTTTTTTTAACATGGAAAAGGATCACCGTTCGTGTCCAGGGGCCCGTGGCCAGGAGTGGGTTTCTACCTCTGAAGGTGAGAGGTTCAGGTTTCGCTTTTGGATATGCATTCTTCAGAAGATAACAGATACCAACAGAGAAAAGAAGATGTCACATCTCCTTCGGAGGATGCTGCAAGAGAAATGAGAGGGATTTGGGTCATCGAGGCCCCTGCTATATATAAAGGTGTGAAAAGGAGGCATCTAGGGCATCCCATCCCCTCCCGGCCAGCATGTGGGTGAGGGGAGCGGCGAGCGGCGGCGGCCGCGGGGCGCTCGGGCCGAGGCAGGCGCTGGGCTGCGGCTGCAATCG